ATGAAATGGTTTAGTGTGGACGCAGCCTAAAATCTTCACTTAATGACAAAAATATGTCACTCTTTCTCCATCTTGCTTCAGATGTATGTTTTTGATTTTATTCATTTTTCCTTCAACTGTAAATCACATTATAAATGTGTTTTGACAGGTGCCATATAAATTAAGGTAATGATTATTATTGGCTGTAATATAAAAAAGCCTGTATTTTTTTCTCTTGTTGTAGTCAGCTGTATTCTCTGTTCGTGGGAGATCTAACTCCAGAGGTGGATGATGGGATGCTTTATGAGTTCTTTTACAACCGCTACCCTACCTGCCGGGGGGGAAAAGTAGTGCTGGACAGCATGGGCAACTCTAAGTGAGTATTGATAGGTCATGACAAACCCCTCTCTTTTTCCTCCCACCTCTCCTTTCTCCCTAATCTCTGGTCACCTCGACCGGTCGAGATAAATGGCCAGGCACATTCAGTCCAGTTCTGTTTCTCCCTGTTGAGAGTTTTTTTTCTCTCCACACTTGCAAGTGCTTGCTCATTACGGGAACTTTTGGGTTTCTCTTTGATAGTAGTGGTCTGGACCTTACTAAAGCAGTTTTCAGACGGGAACTCTGCAGCATGTCTTTGCAATTGGGTCTGGACTTTCTCAAGAGTTTACCTTTCACACATGAACAACAAAGCAGGAGATTCTCCACTCAGGTGTGTTCACAACTACACAGAAATCTCTGCAGTGTAGACTGTAGATAAGGTGTAGTTGTCTTCAGCACATTGTCATCGGCCCTTTTCAGCAAATGCTCTCTTGACATCTTTGTCTGTGTCTTCTACATAATGGAATCTCTTTTCGTGCCTCTGCGCTGTTGATGGCCAGTGGCCAGAGGCATTATGTTTTTCAGGTTTTCCATCCTATGGACATACGTATGGAATTGTGAATGCAATATCTCAAGAATTCCTCTTGGAAATGTCTTCAAATTTGGTACAAAAATTCACTTAGACTCAAGGATAATCATATTAGAAGTTTGTGGTCAAAGGCCAAGGTCACTGTGACCCCACAAAACACATTTTTGGCCTCTTGAATGCAACATTTCAGGAATTTCTACAAATTTAGCACAAAGATTCACTTGGACACAGTGACTTCACGTTCCTGAGAATTTGATATATTAGGAAATTGATTTGAAAATTAAATTGAGGATTGAGAAAACATATATTATATAATAATTGTTGCAGATCCTTTCAAGACTGGAAGCTCTTGGACAGCTTTGTGTTCTTCGGGCTCTGTGCCTCAGCTCTACAGATGACAGTTCACGAAAATATAATTTGTTTAAGTACTTCTTAAATGTGATTAGTCATTGCAGCATTTGCAATGTTATAAGATAATGTTTTTTTTGAGGCCAACTGAAACTTTGGTTGTTTTTAGGGGAGCTCTGTAATAACCCTGTGTCTGTGTCTCCCTGTAGGGGCTGTGGCTTTGTTCAGTTCCCAGATGAGCGGCTGCAGAAGCGGGCATTAGAGGAGTGTCAGGGTGCTATGGGACTGGGTAGTAAACCTCTGAGACTGAGCCTGGCTGCTAACAAGTGAGTTCTTCTCAAAGTCTTAAGTACTTTTTTTTTTTTAAGCCAGTGGATTAGTCAGTGCCCCCGAGCACAAGCAGAATTATTTAGTGGAGTTCATCTGTGTGTCTCTTGCTCCTCTGTGAGTTTAAGGAACCGACAGCAGCAGCAGCAGAATCAGCACTCTGAAAAATCCTGGCAGTCGACCTCAAGCTACAGACAAAACTATGACCAGTACAACCAGTACCAGCAGCAGCCATACACTGGATATTACTCCCCCTGGGGCTATGATCAGACTGGAGGAGGGTATGGTTACAACTATCAGCAGTATGACTACACACAGTATCCTCCACCACAGGTGAGCTCTCTCTGTGTTGACACCCATGGTCATTAGTCATCAATAACAGACATGAATCATTCTAACATTTCTTTCTTTCTTTCTTTTTAGGAGAGTGAAGCTGTTGAGGAGGATGATGGACTTGAAGGTTGGTCTCGGGATTAGGGGCTGCTAATTATTACTGTGTATTGCTTATTATTTACATTTATCTGTTCGATTTCCGATGGTGTAGTCTGTCAAGTCCTATGACCATTGCTTCAGCCTGTAGTAGCTTATTGTCAATCCAACTGTTTTAACGCATAATTCAGCATCAACCAATACCTCCTTTGGTACCATTTTGTAACTGGCAATTAATTTAATTTAATTTAAACAGTGATTATGTAATCTGGAATCTTTTAAGCAAACAGCCCCCACAATAAAATATTAATTGTCTTAAAATAAAGACTCACAGGAATAGTTAAACATTTATTCACTTTTTTTCACAGGGTGAGATATTTAGATGTATATTCATCTGTATTTAATACGGAGCTGGAGAGGTTGTAGTGGTTAGCCTTCATTAGCATAAAGAGTGGAAGCCGAAGGAAGCAGCCTGCTCAGCTATTCAGTATTAGCAGATGTTTTGACCTCGGGTACCTAGAGTTTTTAATGCCACTAGATACAAAAATGATTCAGGAAATATGTGATTATGAAAATTTGTCTAAAAGGCATGACAACCCATAAAATGTGTATGAACCCTGATTAAAATATTCCAGGACTCTGTACCTGTCGAAGCTCCTTTGGCCCCTTTATCATGAACATTTAAAGACATACTTTTTTGCTGCAGGGGATGTATTTTCTTCTTTTAATGTCAACAATTTAACAAAAAACAACCAGGGTTGGCCAAACATTGGCACTTTGTAACCATCCGTCCACTTGTGTTGCAGACCCCAGTCCAGGGCTGGATGTGGTGGAGGCCAACAGGAAGTTCATGGAGCACAGTGAGGAGCTGTATGACGCTCTGATCGAGTGTCATTGGCAGTCAGCTGACCTCTCTGTTGAACAGGAACAAGTGACATCCAGCCTACCAGAGCCCATATACAGCTGAAACATTTTCTCTGGACTTAACCCTCCCTGGGTGTTTTATTTTCCTTTTGTCTACTGAAATTTTGACAGCATGAATTATTTTCTCAAGGACACAGCAAATTTGCATTGGTAATAGATCTCATTAAAGTGTATAAACCAATGGAAATGCAGTGTGTACACACATTCCTGAGTTACAATAAATACTTCTGATTGATATATGGACCTGGCACTGAATCCAAAGGATAAGGTGTTGAGGTAAATGTCCTAAGATAATAAAATGGATACAAAACATGTAATATAAAATTAAACAAATCTTTACAACAAAAATTGCATTAATTGTAAAATAAAATAAAAAATACCATTTATTGACTTTGATACTTGTACACAACCAGCTGACCTCATATAGGTTTGTGTCTGTTTAACAGAAGTAGAGTATTTGTGAGATGTTCTCTTATTAAAGCCCAAAATGAAGAAAGGTGATGTGATTCTTGTATCTTTATGATTAGTCTCATTACTTATGTCTGTTTGCTGTCACAGTCGACTTCTCTCGGTGGGATCCATGTCTCATTACATACTGAGTCACCAAAAACCAGCCGCTCCAAGTATTATTTTTTCATATGTAAATAACTTATGATTTCACACAAGCCTACTTTAAAGTACATCTGAAGCTACGGCAGGTTTATGTCTCTGACTGATTTACTTAATGTTTCTGCAATGAACCCTGGCAAAGCCGAACCTAATGTGTATATGACTGTGCAAAGTCAAAAATGAAGTTATAGTCAAATTTCCTCACTGTACACATCAATATACAAAATATTAACTAGAGGAAAACTGGGAATCACACTAATATGAGAAGTGGAACATTTTGAATGAAAAAGCTTGTTATTGAGGCAAAACCTGATTCAGATAGTTCTGTGACCAGATAAAGAAAAACCCTAAATACATGATACACTGGTGCACTGCATGCAATGAATGACCCATCATGCTGTGTTGCAAATGCTGAGCAGGTGGAGATCTTTACAGTCTGTCAAAGAATTGACTTCAAATTGCTGTTGGTTTGTAAAGCACTGAACGGGCCGAAATACATTTCTGATCTATTGTTACGTTATGAACAATCCAGACCCCTCAGGTCGTCTGGAACAGGTCTGCTTTCTGTCTCCAGAGTCAAATCTAAACATGGAGAAGCAGCGTTCAGTTTTTTATGCTGCACATTTGTGGAACAAGCTGCCACAGACCTGCAGGTCATCCACAACTCTTCTTTGAAATCAGTGCTGAAGACATTTCTGTTTCCCTCTGCCTGTTACTTTCTGTTATTCCTCATTCATTTTTATCTAACTCTAATAACATTGTTCTATCGTCTTATGCTGCTTTTTCAATTTGACACCATTTTATATTTGAATTCAGTCTACTGATGTGCATTCCATGTTTCAGGTGGCTCCCAGACTGCAGAGGTCACTGTTGAGCACCTGTTTGATTCCCTGTTGTGACAGAAGGGTTCCTGGCAGCAGATCCTCATTGCACTGGACCCATGAAGAGCCCCTCACCCAACACCTCCCCCAACACCTCCCCCAAACCTTAAACCAAGTGCTCTGATGTGCACAGCTACAAGTCCGAATGAAACAATGTTGAGTTTATAATGTATCACTGTTGGCAGACTTTAAATAGTCACTTTACACTGTGTGACATCAGCTGCCCTCCACTAGGTGGAGACAAACATCAGTGCCTGTTATTTCTGACTCCATGATCTTAGTTGTGTCCCGTGTGTGTGTGTGTGTTGTATTTGTTCCAGAACTGTGGCTCTTAAATACATTTACCACTTAAATAGTAAACGTACTCTCAGTTGCTCTGCGCAGCTGAGTTGGATTCAAATGACTCAGACATTTTCTGACACGGGTCCACTCAAGAACGAAGACACTGGCTATGTTCATGCTGTCGACTCTGTGGCGCCGGGATACTTTTATTTTGAAGGCTGGGAGTGTTGGAGCCTGTTGGCTGCTGCTCTCTTGACTGCGCTGGTCCGCAGACAGAGCGCAGAGCGCAGAGCGCAGCGCTGTGGAGCATCGGGGGGCGCTGCTGGCTTCCATTGTCCTCACGGTGAGACGAGCTTTGCGCCAGATGTTCCTCAGGAGTTGCCGAAGACACCGCGGACTCCTCCTCCTGCCCTCTTGCCTGTTGTAAATAGTCCGGAACAGAGACAGCGTCTTGAGTTCTGCACATTCCGGGGAGTCCTCGTCCCAAACGATCCGGAGGTTCTGCGTCCTCAAACTATGAAGAGGCTGCAACAGGGTCCGAGACATGCAGGCAAGTTCCCAGAAGTCAGCTGCCACTGGCCTGTGAGTCCCGGAGAAGTTAGACTGGCTGGTCCAACCAGCAGGGAAAGTGCTGCAGTCACCGCTGGCTCCAGTGTTTCTTCCACCGACCACACTGTGTATGGATGGTGCTGCGCTGGTGTGTGTTGTTGTTGAGGAATGCAGCAGCACAGACAAGCCAGACGCACTCCTGTCTGTCGCTAACCTCCACACAGTATTTTAGGAGAGATGGTTCGGCGCAGCACGGCACGGCAGTCAGTGGCTGTCCGTCGTTAAGGTAAAGATGAATCGCTTGATTTCTGCCTATTAAAGAAGCTGCATGTTGTCATAATCGTTCTGATTCATATTGCATGGAGGGGATTTCGTTTGGTTCAGCTTCATGTTGCCTTTGCATCACAGAGGGTCCCACCCCTCCACACCCTGCTGTAAACTCATCACATACACCCCAGTGTCTGTACACATCATCAAGCACAACTTGTGGCTTCCCAGGAGTGATGTGGCTCCAGCCCAGCTTCCTCTGCTGGTTGGAACACAGCAGAGGAACAGTGTGGTGGGTCTATGACACACTGAGGGGATGCGTCCTGTGTCAGGCACGACACTGAGGCTGATCATTTGCAGCTCACACTGCTCTCCGGTGTGTCACTGCCGTGTTATTGAATGCTACCACAGAGAAGCTGGGTGTCTGAGCATCTTCTGCTTCAGTTGTGTGTTCACACTCAGACGCAGTCCTGCTGCATATCACACAGTTTACCAGTAGAAACATGTGTCCGAGCTGGTGGATGCAGTCCACTATGATTCAGTCGCTGCAGCTGTAATCCAACAGACCACAGTCACATAAACAATCACTGTTAATGGTGAAGAAGAGACCTGTGTGATGTGTGTTTCAGAGCACATTTCAGATTGAAACACAAAGCAAAATGTCACCAAATGAGTCACGCATGTCAAATGGATCGTGTCTAATATCTTAACACCGCAGCTTCAAAACATGTGCCTGAATAACATGCGTTGAGATTTTTGATAAATATGCCAAAATATTTGGCTCACAACATTGTGAAAAATGTGAGTCATAATTTCCAGAGCCCAAGGTGACATATTTACCCTGGAGTTTGGAGAGTGTCCGACCAGAGATATATTTAGATATATCTATATATCTCTATATATCAAAGAATAGGTAAACATGATTCAGACCAAGAAAGGAGTATCAAAGTAACAGTTGTGATACTTGTACTGGACACAATTCACTGTGGGTCCAAAAGACACTGAAATGCTGCTTACAACCATATTAGAAAAAGGTTTATGTGAGTCATTATCCTTTGTCAGGGGCATGTAGGAAACTGTTATTTTAAACATTTAATTTAAATGTGAAAGTTCATCCCTGAATAGTAGTTTGACAAAATAATCGTAACTCAAACTGGACATGCTTATGTCAGGAACTTGTGGCTGAATCTCAGGCCCTTCATCATCAGCAGATGGAGTTTGCTCAGGTGTGATGTAACCAGGGGTCGAGATCTAGTCTCGAAATGTAGTTTCAAACTGTGTAAAAAGCCAGGAACATGGAACAAACTTTAAATATTTTTTAGAAAATGGATACAAGAGTACTCTATACTACATGGTATAATTTTGTAAAGAGTGAGAAAATTCTGCAGCAGAGCAGATTACGCCCCATGAGATGCTCTAAGCTGAGAAACAAATGCATGTCGGCATCAACCACTGTGATCAGACTTCACCATGGAAGCTCACTCATAAGAGAGAATACTTAGTATGTGCAGGTTAAGTTCTTAGGCTTGTTAAATTGCATCTTTATTGGTTGAGCCAGTGTCAAACTGACACATGAGAGAGACCATTCCCAAGCAAGTTGGAATCACAAATGAACCCACTAAACCTGTGGCAGGAGAATAGAGCAGCTGGAGAAAGGCCAGGCGGTCACAGGGAGAACCTTCCTGCCATGAGGTGCAGGTGCTGAACACCACGCCACTGCGTTGATGCTGTAAAATCTTAACAACCTGAAAGAGGCTTTAAAGACCTGTAGAGCTGAGAGGAACTGCAGTGTTAGGTATCAAACCTCTGCTCACATTTGAATATAGAATAGTGATTAGTGCAGTGGGAAGATTTATTTTTAATTTGTGGAATGTATTGGTCACTTTGGCATACTTTGTTTTCAGGATGAATAAGAATGTTTCTGTTGCCCTTTGTTGGAAGGTAGTCATTAGTGACTGACACCTGGCTGAATGGCTGGATAGATAGAGGGACGGACAGACAGATAGACGGATAGGATAGATCGGTAGATGGATAGATGGACGGACGGGCAGACGGATGGCAGAGAATATTAATTTATGTAATATACATAAAAGTCGAGGTGAGAAAACTGTCAGTACGACCTGTAGGATCTCCTCTGCAGCAACACAGAGCAGAATCACTGCGAGGTGTTCTCCATGAATTTCAGCAATTTGTGCAGAATCCTCCTCATCAGTATGTCGGTGTCACTGTCGCTGTGATGCTTCTGCACCTGCAGAGGAAAGAGAAGGAATGACTTTCACGAATGAGACTTTCACGAATAAAAAAGTCAAGAGTGGTGCTTTGAGCTTGAATGCTGTGGAGTTGTGCTCCATTAAACCTAAAGAAGCGAAAGCCTATTTGAGCACCCAGCCCCAGCTGTGCACAATAAGAAGAGGTGACACAGCTGTGAGGGGTCTGGCAGTCAGCTTAGTGAAAGCATTTTAGTCTCACTGCTAAATGCTCAGAAACTCAGGTAATTGCACTGGGAGTGTTAGGGGCTGTTTTTCCATTTCATTCTGCTTTGTTTATGATCATGAGAGAGCTGGAGAACAGGACACGTGCAAGAGGTTCTCTGCTTTTGTTTGTAGCTCTTTGAATTTACAAGCTACCTCAGACGTAGAAGGTTTGGAACATTGTAAACAACCATCGACTAATGGAGTGGCCAAAGTAAGCTATGGCAAGACCAAATATGTCTAGATTTCAGACATCCACATGTTATCTGTTCCTTTTCAGTAAGATGGTTTAAATACAAGACCTTCAACTACCATCTCCAATATAAATGACATCCGTGCACTAATTACTACACGACAACAAATATAATTACTTTAATTATGTGTAACATTACCTTCTGTTAATTAGTCCAATTGTTCATGTTTTGGCTTAAGGAATACATGTTTAACAGACCAGATTCCCTGACATAGTTTTTATTAAAGTGTTCTGATATCCAGTCAGAGCTATTAAACAGCTGCACACAAACGCTCCCTATCTACAGAATCAAGATACTATAAGTGAAACAAAGACAAAAAGAAAAGGAGTAAAAGGTAAAGCAGCGTTTTAGTCCAGGTTATAGTCCCTTGGCCAAGTTATAAATGGTTACCGTTGGTAACCGTTGTTACCTCAACCTTGATGTTTTGTAGTTTTAGAAAACATTCTTATCATCATTCAGAGTTGGTTGGGACTGGATCACTCTAATGAGAAAGATATCATTATGTGGTAATATAGATGTGCAGGCCAATAATATGTCTGTTTGTAAGAGACCTCCCTCATTAAAGGCGCAGACTCCCTCGCAGTAAAGTTAATGCCCAGCTTGTGCTCTCAAGCACCTCCTGTTTTACTCACTGAATAATCATCAAATGAGTTTGTCTCAGATCGTGGACAACAGTGACTCTTCCCCTAATGCTACTGAGGGGCCATTAAAGACTCCACACCCTCACATCCCATCCTTTGTACTGAACAGATGTAGAAGGACAAGACGCTACCTGCAACTGTTACTCTGGTTCAAAAGACTAAAGCGATGTCATCCGTCCTAACAACATACAACATTTACCCTTACACAACTCATTAATCATGTTCTTGAAGGGTAGCACATTAATGCCCGACACTGAATGTGAGGTTTCAGCTTTCTCCCACAACGATTTGTAAACATCTAGTCATGGAAGCTGCTGTATGTAGACTATATTTGCTTGTTCTGATGGCATCACTTTATTTTTTGCAGTGTATGCATTGCACTCAACCATTTCTGTGTCCCCAGCTCTGACACGTGAGGGAGTTGGAATAGCGGTGTCTAACCATGTCTCTTTTTTACTACTACCGCCAACAGTGGGCAAAGGTCAGAAATGTTCAAATATGTTCAAGCATAGGCTTTATATTTGGTCATAACTCTAGCATGCACTTGTAATCATCACATTTTTGTGATCTGCTAAGTAAAGCTGACTGATGTATTGTGCATAATTAGTGGATACAGATACACTGTTAAAGCTGCATTAACTCTAAACATCTCCTCACTCCTCAAGTCCTCTGACAGGGTGTGACCTGGAGGGATAGTTCCTGACTGACCTGTGCCATGAAGACCCAAAAGGCCCGAGGTGTCAAGCCAACTTCCCCATCCGGGCGGCGAAAGTCTCGCTTCACCTTACGAAGCAGAAAGAAAAAGGACAGGGTGATCCGAGGCAAGCTTCGCATCCGTTCCATGCCTGGAGCCTTCCTGGTGCTGGGGATCATTGTAGTGGTCGTCGGAACTGCCCTGGCTGTGGCAGGTTACTGGCCCTACAGGATATCAAGATCCTCCATCCTGGGAGCTGCAGACGGGGAAAGTATCTCTGAGTCACAGACTTCAGGCTGGAGTCTGGGAGCTAAGGGTCTCCTGTCCACAGCCAGCCTCATCCACAATGAACGGATGAAGCTGTTAGGGCCTGTCATCATGGGGGTTGGACTCTTCATCCTCATATGTGCCAACACGGTCCTGTATGAGAACAGGGACAGAGAGACTCAGATGCTGCTGGCCCAGATGCGTAGTGTTATCTGCTCTGTGTCTGCAGCTGTGCCCTCCGCCGACCTTAAAGAAATAGCAGTAGCCAACTCGATGGCGAAACACTACCAGTGGGTGAGCAGTTTGCCAGCTGCCCATCTCAACATCCTCTGTCTGCAGCAGCTGGCCAGCTCTGAGCCCCTGCTCCAGACCAGACACCCCCGAGAAGATGAGGACAGTGTGGAGGGCATCTACCAGCAAGCTGTTCTCCAGACAGAAGCCCTCCACCACCAGGAATCAGAGCTGCCGCCTTACCTTCAGTCCTCCCACTCCAACTCATGTAATTCCAGTCAGACAGACTTAAACATACAGTCTGGTGCTGAGCAGAGAGGCAACTTCAATGTGCAGGCTTCCCCAGTTGTCAAGCTCAACAACTGCCTGGTGTCTGCCAGTTCCATGTCCACCCTGGGGGTGGACGAGGTGGATATTCCAGCTGCCCAGCCGAGGCGTTGCCATAGTATGAGCTACAGGACTAACCCTCACATAGCCCGAGCTGGTGTGCGTCTCCAGGAAGGTCTCCACGCACCCAGTGAGGAGGGTCAGATAAATCAGCTTGTAGCCTTAAAGAGAGAGGCTGGTTCACAGGTTTGCGTGAACATCCTGGGGCATGTTATGGATGCTGTGGAGGAGCAGACTCACCAAAGCTGGCCTCGGTTAAACCTGGGCAGTGGCAGGCGATACCTGAAGCTAGAGAACAAAGAGGAGTCAGTGGACAAGCTGCTGGACCAGTTAGAGCAGCAGTGTTCACAGTGGGATAAGAGCTTTGGCTCTGGACCTTTTCAGTGATGGAGTAATCATATTTTACCCTGGATTCAGAAATTGCCCCGTTTGTTTTTAAATTCTGTGTAAGGCAGAGAGAAACTGAGCACTGGACCCTTTGGAGTATTTCTCACAAGGATCTTCCAAAACTTGAGCATGTTCTCAGTCTTCCGTGGAATATTGAGTATGCTTTTTGTTTGGCTGAATGTGGCAGATGTTTATAGAATTGGAGGACATGAACAATATACAGGTCCTACAGGTCGTACAGACTGTTAACTTCAGTTTGGGTTGCCAGCAATGTGAAAAATGAACTTGTATCTTGATGCCAAAATTTGTTTGCCTGTATCCAGGACACAATGTGCACAACCAAACGAAGACGAGATTGAAGGAAGTCACGTTATGAAGGATCTTTTCCACTGTGCAATCATTTTTGAACCAAACTACCTGGACCCCTGAGCCCATAAAATGCTGACAGCTCTTGACAAATACAACTAGTGTTTGAACAGGGACCTTTTCCCATAGGTCCCATACTCCAAATGCAATGCATGGCAGTGATGTACAGTATGTTACATCTTGATAATTATGCAGAATAATGTCATTGTTGGTTTTATGTGTATAAGAAGTGATGATCGTGACAGGGTGATTCTGGTTTATTCATTTTTAGGTGTATTTGTCTTATGTTGGGCTGTTATTAATACAGAATCAAGTGAGATAACATTGTAGTCACCAAAGCTGCTTTCAGACATGCACTGAACTCCGGAGAACCTCCGAACATCTCTAAAGGGGCTCTATGTGTAAATGCAAATGTCAGAGTGAGAGCCTCCCGACATTCTGCTGACTTTCTCCTTGCAGTCTCCTCGTAGAAAGTCAGAAGGAGCAGATATGATAAGGTAGCAGGAGATCCTCTGTGATATTTACAAGTGAGTGGGTGTGTTGATGTTTCTCACAACCGACAGACACAAAATAGAGAAACAAAAATAAAACAAATATCTCAGGATCAAAAAGCGGTGTCATACACATAGAAGACAAAGAGGAAGATGTCAAGAGAGCTTTTGGTGGTAAAGGGCAGACGCCAGTGTCGATATGCTTTAAACAAAAACATGTTATCTCCGCAGTGTAATATGTTACATCCTGCCTCTGCCTGCTGCACCACCCCTCACCTGAACACGCTGGAGATTTCTGTGTTGTTGTGAATGCGCCTGTGCGGAGAATCTCCTGCTGCGTTCTTCATGTGTGAATGGCAAACTCCGGAGACTGTGTGGACCCAATTCTTGGAGGACATGTCTGAAAACGGCTCAAGTGAATTGCTGATGCCTGAGAACATGATAACATTATCTGTCTCTTAACTGTGATGAATGTTTCAATGGATGCAGTCTTTGTTTTTCTCATGGGCAAATTATCATTGCTATGGGCATATCTGTCATTCATGTAATAGCAGTTACATTGTTTTGTCTATTTTTTTTTTTATTGACTTATGTTTTTGCACTTACAGTAATCCATGTAAGATTCCAAATATGTTTGGTGGAAGCACTATACTTTAAGTCCCCCTGTTTAGTTATTAAAAGCAGCAGAAAAAACATTTAATATGGTTTACAACACTGTTGTTCTTATTCTTGCTCACTACACTAATGTAGTGAGCGAGAATACATTTCCAACAAGTATTACTCCTTACACAGGCTTCCATAGGTGAAGCTGCTTAATAAACATAATGAATAACAATATAGAATATTTTTTGTAAAATATTAATTTTAAGGTACACTTCAAAAATAATACTGTACATCAACAATCACTTACAGTATCAAATATCTATATGCAACTATATTATTGTATGGTGAAAAGTATTATATGTTTACATAATGCTTATAAATAGTGGGACTTCTGAGGCCTGTACTATGAAGCAGGATTTGTACTACGAAGCAGGTATGGTTAAGAGTTTTCAGTCGTACGAAGGTTGTTCACTTCTTATCGGAGTAAATCACCATGGCAACTTATCCTGAATGGCTAACCTGCTCCGGAGCAGGTTAATTGGGAGATAAGAGATCAAGCAGTATAAAGTCTCCAACCACTTACCAATAAATGTCTTTAAAAAAACATGACATCACCGTTCTTGGAGCATCCAATGGAGCAAAAAAAAAAAATTGGAGCTCGGTGCGCAGATTGTTAGAGGGTCTCTGAAGAGGACAAGGGTCGTCAGAGTATCTCTGAGTAATGAAAGATATAGAATGTCATCAGAGGGAATGATAAACCTTTGTAAGCTGCTGAAACCGAACATAACCAACCTGACACCTAGGAGCAAAGTGCTCACAGTACCACAGACTCTCTGAATTGATCTATGTTTCTTTACTCGTGGGAGTTACTGATATTGATGTAATGGATGTGTTAGCGGTAGGATAACCAGACAAAGGTTTATACTCATATCCTTCCCTTTAAGTAGGTTTATCCTATGCAATTAAATATTTTGTGGAATGGGAGATAGATAGTTTACAGATTTACCTGGTGATAGTCCCCATCCCTCACGCAGCCAGCTGTCATCAAAATGACACTATGCTGTTCTGTGGTGTGCACTATCCTTAAAGGAAGGATAAGGGAAGTATAAAACACTGTCTGGTTGGTTAAGTCAATCCCCGCCGCTAACACACCCAGTACATCTCAGTCTCTCTCTGTTTCCAGGTATGCTAGACACATCCTGTCACCAACATACCAAATGTGCACAGTCAGGTTTGGCCCCTGAACATAGGTCTGTATGTTTTTATTGACCAGTAATTGCAAACAGTGTGTCCTCAGAGACAGTGCAGACAGTGTGTGTCACGTTATATATTTTTTCTCTGTAATTTACACATTCACACAATCAGAGATTTTTTGCCAGCTGTCCTACCTCCATTTGGCGGCTGTAACTGTGTTTCTTTTAATCCTTGTTTGTGAAATGTGCAGTTCACTTAGTCATATCCAGTAAACACAGACCCTTTTTATGTGCACACGCTAATATCCAGAGCCGGAAAGCCTTGGTTGTAACCAGCTTCATGTGACTACCAAGCCTGACAGTGTTTCTTAGGTTAAATCGAGATGGATTACGGAAAGATATCCGGGCTATGTTGAGCTTGCTTCGTAGTACAGGCCCCAGGTGTTTACATCAAAATAATTTGGTAGCACAGATAGATTACTGCAAATGCAAAAAGTGTTACCAAATGAGTTATTAGAACTGTCTGATCTTATGACTTCAGTTCAACGACATCCCAGAGCTTAGCTACTGATGCACTTGGTGATTACAGTGTTATAATTGCTATAAAGAAGGATGGTTAAAACTATGAAAATAAGTCAAAGTGGTATAATTATCCTTGATGATAAGATGATAATTTCTCTTTGTTGTCCTCCTGGTTGTCTCCAATGTTAGCTTGTATTGAAAACAGAGACATGTCCCCTGTGTCCTGTTGATCTTCTTCTTTCAGAATGCACTCACTATTTATGAGGACGCTATGCTTACACACATCCCCCCTACCCCCACGCTCTCCAACCTTTGATCAAATGGACAGAATGGATTGTGCAGACGAGGCAAGCCTGCTGATCAGTGTTCCTGCCTACAGCTGTGTGTACCACAGACTCTGTTCAGCCCTGGTATTAGAATGTGTCTCCACATGTGTCTCCAGTGACACTTCCCTGCTCTATATGCAAATACAGACAAAAATTATTTTTTTTCCAAGAACAAAATATATAAAAATATGATTTTAACTTGTTGGAGGCAGCAATGCATTTTCAAGAAATCAAGACATTATAGACAACTTGTCCAAGATGTTTGACACACATGTAATACATCTATATAGGCTTTTTTTAAATGTCAGACATCAAAGCCAGTGTCTGTATGTGTTTGTACCTCTGCATACACAGTGGATAGACACCAGCTGAATAGACGGCCTGTTAATGTGGCCGAGGGCACCTTCGTGTTCACACTGCTAAAAGAATGAAGCCACGTGTCTCAGACCATCTTGGTCGTGTTAACACCTGCACTTAGAGCTGTCCTCTTGTAATTGAATCACCCAAGATGCATGTTAATGCTCTGTCTGAACAGCGCCATAAAGGAATGAGTATATAAATCAGAGTCTCATGCCCCCTACCCCTTGGCCCTGATCCCTTTACACCCTTTGCAGATGTGTAGAGGCGACTCCTCCTTGTTTGAATCAACAGTCTTTCTCTGGTTTTATTTCTCTATGTGCTGCCTGTTCTGTATGCCATGTGTGACACTATATGTGTTCTAAATGTATACAAAGCAATATGATCTGTCTGACAGAACCACCAATGGCTGTGTCTTGCCCTGCGTCTACCACTAAATTAAACAGCATTGCCATGCCTTTGTTGCAAATATAAAGTAAAGCAAAAGCAGCTCTTGTTTGTGATTGCATCATTTAGTCAAGCTGTCAAGGTAATGGTATATTGTATATGTATGTAGAATTTAATCTTCGTACTATGCTCGCTACTGACACTGCCATTCCTCAAGACTTTGCATTCCATTTCTCAGGCTGAAAACATCCAGCTGGGTTCCGGACCAGTGATGCCAGTTTATCCAGTTTATCACCTGATAAATAAAACTGTGAGACATGGAATTTTTCCTCTTCGACTCCACAGTACCAGCGTAATGTTTTCAAGCAGCCTTGAGCAGTGATTGGGTGGAGTGGCAGGGGGAATTCCCCAGCTGCAATTATACTCAGCAGAGCCTCTAGCACACTCAAATTTTTCCCTTCTTATAAAAGTTTATGGCTCCTCCTGGTAAGGTATGCAGTTCCTCACAATCTCTTTTCATTTAATTGGCTGTTTACAAGATGGCTTCTGGGTTTCTCCCAGCTAATAAAGTGAGCAGGCAGGACCTCCTGCCCTCTGCGGCAAACGCACAGGAAGGTAGAGGAATACATGGAGGCTACAGGAGGCCAAGAGGGTACATATGTGTAAAGATCGACCCAACAAATCCAGATATCAGCTTTTGTTTCCATCTGGTCAGCTGATCTTCAAGCTTTTACCACACTGCCAACAAAACAGAATGAAATTAGGATAGAGTGAATGAATGGTTCCACTGATTCAAGATGCAGCTACGATCATTTGCATTGGCACATAAATGTTGCTGTCCATTAGCTAATACACCCAGTGCATTAGTATCTGGCACATATGGATCAGTGAAACAGTGGCATCCCCAGAATGAAAAAGAGCAGAATAATTATTTCCACATAGAAATTTGTATTTTCATAATTTATCATTTATTTATCAGCCATGCAAATCAATGTCAACAAATTCAAAAGAGCACAAACGAGTGTTTGTTCTACTGATTTCCAAAAAAAGCACGTGAATATTACTGATGACACATCTAAAAGCATGAATTTCAGTCTTTATTTCATAATGTTTTTTTTCCTGATCTTCCATTTCCTTCTTATGTTTATTGTTCCCATGTATTTAATTTAAGCATGGAATCAAATAGTTAAAGTTATCATCAATTGGTAATTTGCAAACTCTGCTGTTAATTTAGTTTACACCTGCACAACCATGAGAATTAATAAATGCAGATGTTCCCCATGAAGGATCACCTGCTGGAACTTCGAGTGTGTTGAGTGTCATATGGTGAAAACGGGCTCAATGAACATCACATGATGGTCATGTGCTGGCATGACACTGTTTAAAGTCACATTTTATTTTATAAAAAAATCTCTCTAACTCTTATTAGGCTGATTCAGCTGATAAACAAAGATTCATTGAGATTATAAAACCTCAGATTCAAGTACATTTCTTTCATCTTGGGGTTTAAATGGCAAATTTGTGAAACTAGAATTCACTGTTGCCAGTGAAAAAATAACCTTACCTTAATGTTTGACTTTTGTCTTCAACAGTTTCAGTGTTTAACTAGATTTATGCTGCTTTAAACTCAATGGCTTTTTATTATTATCTTTGCTTCAACTGCATTTGTTTGTTTGTATGTCTGTTAGTTAGCAGGATTACACAACAACTTCTGGATGGATTATCATAAAACCACACTGGATGTGGTATGGGTCAGAAAAGAACACACTAGGTTTTGGAGCAGATCTGGATCATGGGAAAAAATTTTATTTTGCCATTTTACCAGCAACAGCTAGTCAAAGGCATTGTGTTTTGGGTTGTCCTTCCATCCTATTCTTGTGAATGCAATAACACCAGAAAGCCTTGAGGAAATTTACTTTGACTGAAGGATGAATTGATTTTGGTGGTCAAAGGTCAAGGTAGCCTCACAAAGATAAAAATGTAGAATAATCCTCATGATGTTTTCACTTGTTCGTTTTATCTAAATTGTATTACTTGTAGTTTTCTTTACCCCAGAAAAGGCCCTTTATATCTAAATACTTTATATTTACAGCGAAGGGACCCTCTCTAAGGAGGCCGCCATTTTAGCAGTTAATGGTCGCAATGCCCTAGTCGGAATCTGGAACAAAAGATTTGACAGAAACTGCACTGGTTGGCAAAGGCATACAAAGGCATGCTGTGTGATAATTCTGGTTTGCACTTTCTTGAATACTAGACTTATCAAAATTTCCGTTGATTTCTCAGAGATTAATTCATGGA